TTCATAGTAACATTCACTGACAGTTATCGGTTTTACCTCTCATAGTAACATTCACTGAGTTATCGGTTTTACCTCTCATAGAGACATGGGCTGACAATTATGGGTTTTTACCTCTCATAGTAACATGGACTGACAGTTATGGGTTTTACCTCATAGTAACATTCACTGACAGTTATGGGTTTTACCTCTCATAGAGACATGGGCTGACAATTATGGGTTTTTACCTCTCATAGTAACATGGACTGACAGTTATGGGTTTTACCTCTCATAGTGACATGGGCCGACAGTAATAGGTTTTACCTCTCATAGTAACATGGGCCGACAGTAATAGGTTTTACCTCTCATAGTAACATGAACTGACAGTTGTGGGTTTTACCTCCATAGTGACATGGGCCGACAGTTATGGGTTTTACCTCCATAGTAACATGGACTGACAATTGTGGGTTTTACCTCTCATAGAGACATGGGCCGACAGTTGTGGGTTTTACCTCATAGTGACATGCACTGACAATTATGGGTTTTACCTCTCATAGCATAAATGTTTTTCATGGCAATTTACAAAATGTTAACCCTCAGAGACCCACACTTTTTACTCAAATCTAAAGAATTCACTTTCATTGGCTGTTGAAGCCATTTTACGATTGCCATTATGCACAAGTCTTTGCAGTTTTTCTGTTATTTTCCATGCAATTTACTACAATGCATCAGTAAATACATTGTTGGAAACATTTATAAATATTTTATACTTATTCATGTTATTACTTTATTATTCACACAGGACATAGTAGAACAGCAGATGATATTGAGAAGAATGGCAGATGTATGCATTAATATCTTTGCTATGAGTGCTGTGTTGTCAAGGGCAACCAGATCAAAGGTGGATGGACTTCGAAACTGTGATCATGAGTTGATGTTGGCGACTGCTTTCTGCAGTGATGTTTATGCTAAAAGCCAAAGACTGTATCGAGATATCGGTTTAGGCAAGTTACTTTGTACACAGTTTATTCTAAACTATCATGCAATTTTGTTTCCTAGCACAATCTTTTCATTTCTTTTGTTGAGTAAAATAACATGAGTACAGAATGCAAATGTGATTTAAAAGATTCTGACTAAAAGGGTGGCCTCATATCCAGTAACCCACATTTTCGAGTGAGTTGTTTGTGTTTCCTCATTGTAAATGAGATATAATAAAATTGACAGATTCATTAATCGATTACATTGCCAGTGTGCTAAACATTTATCAATTAATTAGTTCAACTTTTTGAACATGCTGTTATAAAATAAAGGTATACACTGACAGATGGCATTCAAATTTATTATGAATAGAATACATGTACCGTTAAAATCCTATTATAAACCGCGGTTTATATTACAATGTATCAAATAAAAAATTGGGATCAACAGCTCAAGTTCGGGGTGCGGTTTATATTAGGTACATATTGCAATCACTAAATGGGCGTGGTCACTTGCACAAAACAAACAATACACCGTACAATCTTTTGAATATAAGCTAACTCCAATTTAGATGTCAGGGAAGAGTGATAAGCGTCACGTCACAGAAAAACTGTTCACATGAAAAAAAAAACACTTGGTATATTTATTGTAATATGCATTTATTTTTTGCAAGTACAATTCAACTTAGTTTCACTGTAAGCGAATTATTTCGGTCACATGTATATGATCGATGCGACATCCGCCATGTAGTTTGAATGCACACGAGACATTACTTGACCGGGTAGGTCCAGTCGCTAATTAACCAATTAAAATGCTGGATGGTGCCCACGTGTTCAAATTACTTTAGTTCATTTAAATATGTTAATGACAGATCACCATTGTGTCGTCACAGGAAGCGCGGTTCCAGCACAGACCTGTGTCATAAGACGCCTTACTAGCTGATTTTGGCTAAAAAAGCGCTCCGCCGCCTCTTTACACTAGTGTTTATACACGGAACTTGATAACATTTTTTGACTTCCATGTGCGAAGCACAAAATGGGAGTCTTTGCGGTTAGTGTGTC